TACCTCGAGCAATTATCTCCTCTAGAAAGACTATCCCTCAAAGAGCTGTCACTAAAATTGGTAATGCTACTAGCCTTGACATCAGGTCAGCGATGCCAGACTCTGTCAATATTGGACACTGCGTTCATGAAGAAAACAGAGCAATATTTCCTATTCACACTGACTGAGCATGTTAAACAGAGCAAACCAGGGAACACAATGACATCATTCTATGCACGGAAATTTACAAACAAGGAACTGTGTGTCTACATGGTACTAGACACATATCTGGAGCGTACGAAGAGTGTAAGGAAGGAAACAAAGCTACTCATCTCATTTGCCAAACCTCACAAAGCGGTGGGGGTGAGTACCATAGGCCGCTGGATTAAAATGGTACTTGAAAGCTGCGGAATTGATACAAAGAAGTTTYCAGCACACAGCAAAAAGTCAGCTGCTGTAAGTAAAGCAAGTAAATCTGTGCCTACTGATGTCATACTAAAACATGTTGGATGGTCATCCAATTCGACGTTTGCAAGGTTCTACAACAAACCCATAGCAGACAATGATGCGTCTTTCACAAAAGCAGTATTAACTAAGATAATTCTATGATTTATTGAAATAAATTATGAAGTTTGTGTTATGTTGGGCTTCCTGTTGTGTCCACAATTGCTTYAGAGTCTCATGTTAACCGGAAGTACGTCACTGCGATTTGGTARAATTAATATAAAAATTAGGTAACACCTAATAGCGGAGCTCCAATAGCAATATAGAAGCTRAAAAGTCTGAAAATGATTATCTARTACTGCTATTTCAAAGTTAGATGCTTTGTTCTAAGGAATGTGAGCTACAACAGTTTTGTTGACATGCGAACAAATATAATAAAGAGTGTGTTTATGAGAATTTAGTTCGTACTATTATATTGACTTCGGTAGATTWCGTTCCGTTGGATGAAGTTTAGAATTATCATTAAAAGTAAACTGAAAGCTTCTTGGCAAAAAGTAGTCTACATAAGCATACAATAATCAACATTGTTTCAATAATCGATGTTTGARCCCGGACTACTCGAACTTCACATATCACAGAAAACTGTATACAAAAATATATTTTTTAACTTCATTATCGAACTTCCGATAAATTATCGTTCAAAGGTCATCTTCAACAGAGCCATACTTGTTTCAAGCATAGCTTTCAT